GCCTCTACCTGGGGGCCCTGCTGCCCCCTTATCTCCTCCTCCTCCTCCTCCTCATCCTTCTCCTCCTCCTCCTCCTCCTCCTCCTCCTCCTCCTCCTCCCCCTCCATTCCCCCTCCGTTCCCTTTCTCTTTAAACAACTCCTCGCTGTCGCACCCCGAAGCGTGTCGGTAGGGCGGGCCAGGCGTTTCGTTTGAGAGGTCCTCCAATGCATGATGGTTAAGCTGAAAGTCTGCAAGAGCTTCACGCATGGAGGGCGGGCCGCTCTGAAGATGTGGCTCTCGCCTTAGCGCTGCGCGCATTCGTTTTGAACAGTTGCAAGAGTTTCACGGGCGGGGGGCGGGGGGGGTCAGAATGCGGCTCTGGCCTAAGCGCTGCGCACCTTCTTCTGTAGCGCAAGAGTTTCACGAATTGAAGCGGCTCCTTTCAAAATGTGGCTCTCGCTTTAGCGCCGCGCACCTTCATCGTAAGTTTCAGCCGTTTCAATAATCCCCATGGGTAACGTACCAGAGACGGTGTCTTGGTACGAGGTCGGGCTGTCAGGGCGCAGCGATTACGTTGATTCGCGTGGCGTGGGCAGCCCAGCGGGTCTTGCATGTTTGCTTTGGAAGATCTTCGAACGACCCCAAGGTGAAGGCCGCGGCGAGGGACTACATCGTCATGATCGCGCTCGACATCGTGCAGCGCCCAACGGCATGCGTATGGTGTGCTACAAGTATGCGGCCACACAGCTCCCATACCAGGAAATCTCCTCGGTTGGCAGCCCGTGCCAAATTGGGGATCGGCACGCGCTGGAGAGCCTCGGCTGCGCTTGCGCCGCGCGCGGCGCGTGGAATGCAGAGTCGAACCGTCTCACCCTGAAGTTCCACCAGCCCTGCCAGGGCGCGGCAGTGCATAAGAAGTCGCACCACGGGGGCCCGACCACATGGAGCAGCTCCGACGCGGCAGGTCCTGCCTCCGAGGAAGGGCTGGCGGTAGGGGGAGCACCTCTCCCGTGCCTCGCGGCGGCGGCGGCGTCCGTCACGGCATGGCGCCGGCACCTGCTGCGGCGAGGCCCGGCAGCCTGGTGCGGCGCGGGCAGCTGTTGGGGACTGCCCCCCTCGAAAGCACCGTGGAAATCGCATGGATGCGTCCCTCGCATGGCAAACTTCAGCAACAGGCGAGAGGGCGAAACGGTCGCTACGAGCTGAGGTGGGCGAGGTGATGCAGGTCTCGGCGGCCATCGCAGTCCTCGCAGCACGGCCATTGCGTGCCATCCTTTTTTTGCATGAGAAAAACCTGGCGCATTGGGGAGTACTCTGTTGGCGTGGCCCATGCCCACGCCTGTGGCAATGCTGTTGGGCTGCGCTGGTCGATGACACTCGCTGTGCAATCTCTTGGGGGGGCTGTGGTGGATCAAACGGTTGATGGTGGCAGCCTCCCGCAAGCAGACCACCTCGAGAGAAATGTTGCGATGGATGACCCCACTGGAGGCTCCTAAGGCGCTACAAGCCTCAGAATGCAAAGGGCTGCTCGACCCTATGAGAGCGACCTGCTGGATCCCCGCCGAACACTAGCCAGGTAAGCTTAGAAAACTTTCTCGCACACATTGCGCTAGCCATACGTCACTGCCGAGTATCAGGCATGATGGGGAAGAATGTCTGGAACATGCTCTGGCGAGGGCGCGCGGGGCCCAGGCTCGCGGCGCCGCGCAGGACTTCGGCATGATGCCAATTCGAGCAACCTTAAACGATCGAGCCTCTTGCCTGGCCGAGGTTTTACTTGTGATGGCAGGCGCTGGCTACACGCTCGCCGCACTTGCGTCCGACCTGCCTGGGCCTGGGAGGGGGGCTCTCTCTGCCGAGCCGATCCCCAGCTGGAGGCTGTGGCCCCGGACTTCCAATCCGAGCTGCCGTGCGCCCAGCCTCACATTCGAGCCCTGGGGTGAACCAGGGCCAGGGTGTTCCCTTTCCATGGGGGGGGGGGCACCAGGCCTGGCGCCCTGGACGTGGGGGCAAGGGGTGACGGCTGCCCTTGCTGCCACGGCCCCGCCGCGCAGGCACCGTCACACAGCCGCAGTCCCCCTGGGAATCTCCCACCCGCGGATGCCATCGCCCCGACCTCCTCCTCCTCCTCCTCCTCCTCCGTCTCCTCCTCCTCCTCCTCCTCTCCTCCTCCTCCACCTCCTCCTCCTCCTCCTCCTCCTCCTCCTCAGGAGCACGCGGCCTGGGAGTGAGATGGGTTGCGTCCCCCTCGCCCGAGCAGGGCCAGGCTGGGCTCACCCAGCTCGATCCTGGGCCTGGGGAGGGTCCGCCGCGGCCTCCCTGGGGAGTCGGCGGGCCCCCGCTGCCGCATGCGCGCCCGCGGCGCGCCCGCGGAGGTTGAGGAGAAGCGGTTGGCCGTCCTGGGGGTCCTCTGGAGGGCCCTGCTGCTGCGGGCGGACGAGCGAGCCACCCAAAACGGCCCGCGGGCGGGCGAACCCGAGGCGGCCCTCCGCTCTCGCGGGGTCGGCCCACCCACGGCTGCACACGCACGCGCCTGGGGCGTGGCAGTGGCCCTGCATCAGTTGTGGGCGGGGGCGAGGCGTTTTGAAGCTGTGGCAGCGCCGCTGGAGGAGGACCTGCAAGGCATGGCATACCGTCTCGGCCTCTCGGCGATGTTCAAGTGTAGCATCTGTTCTCATCAGTGTGACAACTGATGTGTCTCCGACTGGAGACTTGCGTGTTGCTTTCATTTGTGTTCTGGGGGTGTACATCCTTGAGCGTGCTCAGGACTTCTCCAGCAGCGTTTTGGCGTGGCACACCGTCAAATGTGGCATGATGCCTCTCCAAATCTAAGACCGCAAGCGGCGACGACCACGGGCATCCCGTGAGCGAGTGGCCGCCATAGCGGCCGCCGAAACCAACCCGTCTTGACCGAGATGGGTCGGATTTGCTCCTGTCCGACAACGGCCTGCTGTGCCTCGGCCACTGGCTCGACGACGCGGGCTTCTTGGGCAAGGCCTGGCGTTTGGACCGCGCGGGCGCCTGTCCTGGCACGCACGGGTCGGGGGGAGGCCCCCGCGGACGCAGGAGCACTGGCTGCCGGTGCGGCTAGCCCAGGGCTTCTGGGGAACGGAGCCCAGCCGAGCTCGGCAGGCGGTGAAAAGGGGGTGCTGAGGTGACTCACACTCCTCTCTGCCTGCGTCTGCCCTCCTCCTCATCCCCCTCCTCCTCCTCGTCATCCTCATCCCTCCCTTTCCTCCTCCTAGCCTTCTGCCTCATCCCCTTCCTCCTCCTTCTCCTCCTCCTTATCCGCTCCCTCCTCCTCCTCTTCCTCCTCCTCCTCCTTCTACTCATCCTCCTTCTCAACATCATCACCACCACCACCGCCGCCGCCGTCACCACAACCACAACCACCACCGTCATCATCATCATCATCATCATCATCATCATCATCATCAGCAGCAGCAGCAGCAGCATCATCATCATCAGCAGCATCAGCATCAGCATCATCATCATCAGCAGCAGCATCATCATCATCAACATCATCATCAGCAGCACCATCATCAACATCATCATCATCATCAGCATCATCATCAGCATCATCAGCAGCAGCATCATTATCATCATCAGCATCATCATTATCATCAGCATCATCATCATTAGCTGCAGCAGCATCAGCATCAGCATCAGCATCAGCATCATCATCATCAGCGGCATCAACATCATAATCATTATCATCAGCATCATCATCATCACAATCATCATCATCATCATTATCATCATCATCAGCAGCACCATCATCATCGTGGGCATCATCATGATCTGCATCAGCATCAGCATAATCTTCATCAGTATCATCATCATCACCACCATCATCAGCATCATCATCACCCTCATCATTAAACTCACCATCATCAGCAGCAGCATCATCAGCATCATCATCGCACTCACCATCATCATCACCACCATCACCATCATGATCATGATCATGATCACGGTCATGATCAGCATCACCATCATCAGCGGCAGCATCATCATCGTAATTATCAGCATTATTATCATCCGCATCTTCACCCTCATCGTCATCATCAGCAACAGCATCCGCATCCGCATCAGCGTCAGCATCAACATCAGCAACAACAAAAATCAGAATCGTGTTCCTCCTCAACATCAGCATCAACATCGCCGTTGTCAGAATCATCACCACCATCAACCTCATCACCCTCAGCATCATCAGTATCAGCATCACCGTCATCGTCATCATCAGCAGCAGCATCAGCATCACCATCCTCAGCATCATCACCATCATCAGCCTCATCCTCATCATCATCCTCATCGTCATAATCCGCATCATCATCCTCCTCATCAGCATTAGCATCATCATCGTCATGATCCTCCTCATCACCATCCTCAGCCTCATCCTCCTAATCCCCTTCCTCCTTATCCCCCTCATCATCATAATCAGTACCAGCATCACCATCATCATCACCAGCATACATCATCATGATCATCATCAGCCTCACCATCATCATCAACATCACCATCATCAGCAGTGGCATCACCACCACCAATAGCATCATCAACATCATCATCCTCCTCATCAACAACATCATCGTCATCGGCACCGTCATCATCATTGTACGTGTCATCATGATCCTCCTCCTCCTCCTCGTGGTCGTCGTCGTCTTCGCCGTTGCCCTTCATGCTGCTCCCACTTCTCCCCTGTTTTCTCACATTCATCATCCCTCCTGCGTCACCTCCGTACTGTTGTCTTCCTTCGCCTCCTACCTCCTCCCTCCTCCTCCTCCATCCTTCCCCTCGTCCTCCCCTGTCGTCCCCCTCCCCCCTCCTCCCTCCTCCTCCACCTCCTCCTGCAGCTCCTCCTCCTCCTCCTCCTCCTCCTCCTCCTCCTTTCGAGGCGTAGGAAGGAGGAGGAGGAGGAGGAGGAGGCGGAGGGAGGAGGAGGAGGAGGGGGAGGAGGAGGGAAGCACGAGGAGCAACGAGGAGGAAGGAGTGAGCAGTGAAGAGGCGGCACGAGGCCTCGCCAGGTGCCCGTGCCGACGGGGCCGCGCCCTGTGCCCCGCGGGGCTCCCCCGCCGGGGGCCGCTGCTGGCTCGGCGGGTCCGCGTCCCGCGTGCCAGTGGGCGCCGCGGCCGAGAGGACCTCGCTCCACCCCGCCTTTCCTCCACGCCCTCGCCCATCCCCTCCCTCCCTCCCCCTCCCTCCTGCCGCCGCCCTCCTCCTCCCCTCACCCTGCGCCCTCCCTCTCCTTTCTCCGATCCCCCTCTCCCTCACTCCCCCCCTCCTGCCTCCCTCCCCCCTCCATCCCTCTTCTCTCCTCTCGCCTCCATGCCAGATCCCCCATCCTCCCTCCATCTCGTCGCATCCTTCCTCCCCTCGTGCCTCGGCCTCCATGCCCCTCCCTGCTCCTCACAAGCCTTCACCCGATTGGCTTAGACTCTGCGGCATGGATGGGCCCCTGAGATTGCCACGCTATTGGTCTACGGCTCCAGTGTCCGCAGAATCCTGGTCCACGCTCCTTGGTGCGCTTCCGATCCCAACTAAGCTTTACTTGAAGCGACAGGTCTCGGACTCCCTGGGCACCAGATAACACTGTTCCCCACGCGCCTGCAAAGAAGTATGTGAGCAAGAGCGTTTTAGATCAAGCTTGCGAGGGTGAAGGAAGTTACATGGCTGCACATCAAAACCTGGGATCCAACAACCTCCGACGTGGTGACAGTCGTACACGTTGTCCGCAAACGACCCCGTCCGGACGCAGGCGTTCTAGATCCAAACCGATACGATGGGAGCAGCGACTGTCTTGCCTGTTGACGACGCGCCTCGGTATTGGGACACCCCCTGGACATCGAGCCCCAGAGCCTGTCCTGGAGCGCGATCCGCCAGAGACCTGGAGGCGAGCCCAGCCCAGCCGTGGCAACGCCGCCCCCCCCCACCCCCCCGAGGCCGCAGAGCGCGTTCGAGCTTCCCCTCCTCGTCGCCTTGCCTCCTCGCCGACCTCCAGACGTCAGGGCCCACCCTCGCCAGAGGCAAGCAGGGCTCGAGTTAAACAGTGTTTTCCTCGTCTTGTTGTCGTCATCCCTATTTCTGTCTTCGTTCCACATTTGTTGCAAAACGAAGTCAAAACGAAAACGGTCCACGAAATTGCCAAAACACTGTTTAGCTCGAGCCCTGGATGCAAGGGCCAGGCCCCCTGTGAGGCCGCCGCTGCTGCCGGGGACGACCCAGGACACGGCGGTTCCCTGGGCCCTCGCCCGCGAAGGCAGACCCCAAGCCGAGCTGGCCTGGGGTCGAGGAACCTTGGAGCAGGGCGAGCTGAGACAACAGCAGGTCAAAATTGGTCCCTGGACCCCTCCCGGGGTCCAAACGCACCAGCTTTATGGGTTGCATCCAGCCGTGCGACAAGAGGGCCCTTCGAAGGCCGATTACCGTTGTCTCGACTCGCCCTCATCTGGGAAGCGTGGCCGTGAGCCTCCGACAAGGGGAGGGGGGGGGCAACTGTGGCGAAGCTTCCGCCCCAACGCCGCCTTGCTGGCGGCATCGTCCTGTGGAGCCGCGCCCGCGCCCGCGGCGGCCCCAGCCGCGGGCGCATCCGCCGCCGGCGCGGAGGGCCTCGACGAGGTGTTCCCCATCCTCCCCACATTCCCTCGACACGGCCACCAAGGCTCCTTCGCGTCTCGATAAGAATAAAACAACACGACGGAAGGTTTTTGGCAACTTTAGGCCTCGCGGGCCCCTGCGGGGCCCCGTGGCCGCCAAAAGATGGCTCCGCTGTGCACAGCCAGTCCTGGGAATGGGTCGAGACCTCCAGGGACCCAAGCTGCGGAAGCAGCACAACGTCGGAAGGTGGTGGGGCTCGCCAGCCCTGGTCATGCTCACTTGGGCCCTCGGCTGGCGTACAGGCCCACCTGTGGGCCTGGGCGAGGAGGGCCTTTACACCAGCCCAGGACCACGGTTGGGTCTGGCCAAGCCTCGTGGTGCGTCCAGTCGCCGGCATCCGACTTCGTTCCCTCCTCCCTGTCTGCCTCCCGTCCCCCTCCCCTCATCACTATCATCCACCATCTTTCTGTCCTCCTCCTCCTCCTCCTCCTCCTCCTCCTCCTCCTCCTCCTCCTCCTCCTCGTCCCTCACTGCTCCCCCTTCCCCCTCCTCCCCTGTCGTCCCTCCACCCGCTCCCCCTCCTATCCTCCGCCCTCGCCCCTCCCTCCCTTCTTCATCTTGTACGGATTGGGGGAGTTGGACTGGGCAGGTCAAGGACGATAAAGCCGCCGCACGTGACAGTGACTACCAGGGTCAGGCAGCAGGGCCAAGCTTGGTGGCGACCCTCACACATGATTCATCCCAACCCATCCTCGAGAGCGTTGTTCTTTCGCGATCTGCTGGTCTGTCCTAGGTGCCACAATGCACGTGAGACCTTCACAAGTCTAGTATAAGATAACATTGTTTCATTGTAACCAAGAGGTGGCGAGTGATTACGCATGTTCGCTCATGCTCATCATATCCAGTATCCACCTCTCTCCTCCTCTCTCCTCCTCTCTCCTCCTCTCTCCTCCTCCTCCTCCTCCTCCTCCGCCTCCTCCTCATCCTCCTCCTCCACCTCCTCCTCCTCCTCCTCCTCCTCCTCCTCCTCCTCCTCCTCCTCCCCTTCCTCTTCCTCCTGCTGCTGCTCCTCATCCTCCTCCTCCTGCTGCTGCTATGCCTTCTCCTTTTGACCACGATCAACACCACCACCATCATCGTCGTCATCGCCATCGTAGTTAGCGTCATCATCACCACAACCACCATTTTCCTCGTCATCAGCACTTCAATCGTGAAGCAGCCTTATCACAACCATCATCACCATCATCCTTATCATCGACAAAACCACTACCATCATCACGATCACCACCCTTGTCACCATCGTCAGCATCATCCCAATCAGCAGTGCAATCCTCGCCAGCACCAGCGCTATCACCAACATCATATATCAGCAGAATCCTCAGCATCATCAGCATCGCCATCATCCTCACCACAATCACAATCCCCATCACCATCATCATCAGCATCATCATCAGCATCATCACCATCACGATCACCATCACCATCACCATCATCATCACCATCACCATCATCAGCAGCAGCAACAGCAACAGCATCATCAGCATCAGCATTAGCACTAGCATCATAAGCATCATCATCAGCATCACCATCAGCATCACCACCATCATCAGCATCGTCATCATCGCAATCATCGTCACCAGAATAATCAGCATCAGCATCCAACACCACAACAAAAATCACCACCCTCATCACCAACACTACCACCATCATCATCCACATCATCAACAACGTTATCGACATCATCGTTATCGTCATCGTGATGACCAGCATCACCATCATCTGCAGCATCATCAGCATCATCAGCATCAACAGCATCATCATCAACACCATCATCATCATCATTAACACCGTGAACACCGTCGTTATCATCACAACCGTCGACATCAACACCATCACCATCACCACCACCATCATCACCATCACCATCATCACTACCATCATCCCCCCTTCTCCCTCCCTCCCCCCTCCCCGCGATCCTCACCTCTCGCTCACTCTCTCTCCTGCTCCCTGGGCCCGGGCCTGGCCGAGCCAGGGGCGGGGACCTTGCCAACGGAGGCGGGCACCTGCGGCTCGGGCTCGTTCCTGCGCGCGACGACCAGCATCCTCTCCGCCTCCGCCGCTCTCGACTCGACCAGGGACAGCCTGCGCTGCAGCTTGGCACCCCGGTCCTGACGAGGAGGAGGAAGAGGAGGAGGAGGAGGAGGAGCAGAGCAGAGCAAAGCAAATCCTCGTGGAGTCCCTGCCAAGCTACCGACCGCGAAGCTCGAAAAACCTGACTGGACTCTGAGACGGTTTCTTCGAAACCAGACGTCTCACGCTGCGAGCTGCTCTAAGGCTCACAGCAAACACTGCACTGGCCGTCGGGCACCCCAATGGGCACGCAGCCCCCAGCGGGGGCCCGAACGTCAGGCGCGACGACGTCTTCCCTTCAAGCACCGTATTCTTGAGTGGTTTACGGGATAACCGCCAGCTCGCGACTACCCTCGCACTCTCACCGCACTTCGGATGCTGGCCCTTCACAAGCCACCTCCTCTTGTGCAGCTCCGCCTCGGTTGTCGTCCACCCAGGCGTGCCGACGGCGCAACAAGGGCCCCCGAGACCAGCAGGCTTGGTGATCGCACACAGGGGTAACATCTATATATATATATATATATATATATATATGTGGTCAGCCCCCCCCCCCAGCACCCCGTGTGCACCCATCGCTCTCTTTCCGTTGCTCCTCCTCCTCCTCCTCCTCCTCCTCCTCCTCCTCCTCCTCCTCCTTCTCCTCCTCCTCATCCTACTCCTTTCCTCCTCCAAATATGAAAACGAAGAGGAAGAGGATGAGGAGGAGAAGGAGGAGGACCAGGAGGTTGAGGATTAGGATGAGGAGGAAGCCATGCTATTCACATGTTTTTGGTGTTTTTTTGGTCAGGGAAGCCACGAAACCTTGCTATTCACATGTTTTTTTGGTGTTTTGGGTTTTCAAAAGCTCCACAAACTAGGCCAGGAGGTCTTATGGACGGCTGAAAACCAAAAAAACATGTGAATAGCAGCGTTTGGTGGCCACGATCCCACCAAACGCTGCTATTCACAGGTTTTGTTTTGGTTTTTTCTGTCTAGGAAGCCACCAAACGCTGCTATTCACATGTTTTTTTTTTTTGTTTTGTTTTTTGGGTTTTCAGAGGCTCCGCAAGCCCCCGCGGTCCCCTTCTGGCCAAGCTTGTGGAGCTTCTGAAAACCCAAAAAAACAAAAAATCTGTGAATAGCAAGGTTTCGTGGCTTCCCTGACCAAAAAAACCCCAAAAAAACATGTGAATAGCATGGTTTGGTGGGCAGTGGTGCTTTGCAATAGAATTTCTTTGTGCGGCTTTCCAATAGAATCCCTTTGTGGCGCTTTCCAAAGGATTCCTTTTGTGAGGCTTTCCAATAGAATTCCCTTGTGATGCTTTCCGAAGGATTCCTTTTGTGAGGCTTTTGTTAGCGCCACTGCTTGATGGGGAGGTCCCAGACGACGGCAGTACCAGCCTTGCCAACGTTCCCCACAACGTCGGGCTTCGCAAGGACCTCGAGAACGGGCATGGTCTTCGCCTTGTCCCAGGCTGCCACCATCACGTCGTTGGTGTGCCCCTCTTTTCCCATGGACACCCCGAAAGACTTCATGCCGCAGGCGGGCAGGTTGGCGGCCTCCATCGGAAATGCCCTCGGCATCGCGGACGGCGCGGAGGTGCGCGAGGTGGCGAGCGAGCGAGGCGACTGATGTTTGAGCCTAAACGTGCGCGGCATTACTGGCGGGGGGGAAAGCGAGAGGGGGAAGGGGGGCGGCATTCGGGGCGATCGCAAGCAGGGCGAAAAGAGTGGGAAACGCCTGGCCGCCAGAAGAAATGGATTCACAATCGCTTCAAAATCACAGCTTTTCATGCCGAACTCCGAGCAGGTGCGCTTCAAACTTTCATCACATAACCGATATATAAATGTGCGGGGCAAACGCCATGCCCTCACACCCCGCCCGCGCCTCAGAGACGGCGGCGCGCCGACGCGCGCAGGCCGAACGACGGGCCCACGTGCATTCGGTTGGAGGGCTGGTCGCCGTCGGCATCGAACAGCACATCGCGGTGGCGGGGCAACGAGAGCGACGCCATCACCATCCTCTCCATGAACCCCCAGGTTGTCGACCACGGCACCTCCGCCGCATGGGTCCATCCTGGGAAATCGCGGCACGTGAACGTCACAATGCACGCGCGGCCCTCAGTACCCACCGCAGGGCGACATCGCGCATCGCAGACGTGCCAGCCACTATCCGCTGCAGATCGATCGGGCCGATCGCAACGAGCATCGTCGATCTGCAACTGACCGCGTCTGACCGATGTGGCAGATCGCAGACGGGGAAAGATCTCGCGATCGCGGCTGGCGAGGCGAGCGCGCGATCGTCGCGGCCGATGCAAGTGGCCACAACCTCGGCGTACATGCACGGGCGGACGATCACATAATCGAACGCGGGATCGTTCGACTCCCACAAATTGCCGTGGAAGCCGGGAGCAAAGAACTGGTTGCCGCTGTCCCGCACTTCAATGTTCGCGGGCCACACGCACACGTTGAACCGATCCTGGGGCAAAAGCAAAGGTGCTTCCTCATTGCCGAAATCAGGAGATGGTCGGTGGCGGGAGAGGGGCCATCCAAAAACTTAGTTACCCCCCGCCCTCAAGTCCTCCCCAGCAGCCAAGCGCTGAGCCTGCGTGCGCCCCACCCTGCGCCACGCCGCGTCTGGCGGCAAGACGTGGCCAACGTGGCCAGGCACGGCGCGCGGCACGAAGGCGCACTCGAAAGCCACGGGTAGAAGACTACCGCGGAGAACTTTTAGGGGGTTTGAGCACCCTGCGGAGGCCTGAGCGCTAGCGGCAACGGGAGGCACCAGCAGAAGCAGCAGCAGCTCTTTCTCTCTCTCTCTCTCTCTCTCTCTCTCTCTCTCTCTCTCTCTTTCTCTCTCTCTCTCTCGCTCTCTCTCTCTCTCTTTCTCTCTCTCTCTCTCT